CCCCTACAACGTCATCAACATGACGACGTCATCAAGAGGACGACATCACCAAGAGGATGACATCATCAACAGGACGACATCATCAACATGACATCATCATCAACATGACGACGTCATCAAGAGGACGACATCATCAAGAGGACGACATCATCAACAAGACATCATCAACAAGACATCATCAACAGGACGTCAACACGACGACTTCATCAACAGGATGACATCATCAAGAGGACGACATCAACAGGATGACATCATCATCAAGATGACGACATCATCAACATGATGACATCATCATCAAGATGACATCATCAAGATGACATCATCAACAGGATGATATCATCTAGAGGACGACATCATCAACAGGATGACATCAGGACGACATCATCAACATAGGTATGATCTCAAATTCATATCACGGTATCAATTGAATCCCTTCACAATAAAGGAAAATTATCATAAAAAGCAAAGATAGTTTTTAGAGCATTTATTAAGCAGAAAACTGTCATCATAATCAAACCCAGCATTTTTGCTGTAGTGCAAATGAACATAACAGAAGAACAAAATAATGTTTTATAAATATATAATGCAAAACGGTTTCAACAACAAAAACATTTCTCAAATTTTCAACAATATCAAAATAAAGTGGATGTTATAACAAGTATTTCAAGTGAAACTAGTCATTTAGACTTAAAACATTCTAAGTTTACATAAGTTGTCTAAAATGTTATAGTGTGACAGGACCTTAAGGGCCTTAAGCTGCACATAGTCCTGTCATAAAACCATTTCAGATAACTGGAATATTATTAAATGCCAAAAAGAACAGTTCAGTCCCACTGATGTTATTTAAGGCCACTGAAATTAAATCTGCTTGGAATGTTTCTAAGTAAAACAATCAAAATGTTGAGACAGAAATTTGTGCTGCTGATCAAACTCATGATCAGGAAAAAGGAGGCGAAGCAAAAGAAACATTGTTCAGAGCCAACCTACAGTTTCATCTGACAACACCTTGTCCACCTCCAGTTTCACATAAATACTTCATTACGTCTCCAAACTTCTTGTAAATGTCCATCAAAGCATTACTACAATCTTATGTAATACTTTTTTCAAAAACATGGAGATTTTTAATTGACTTTAGGTGTGATTGTTGATCCTGTTGGTCTTTGTTGGATAATGACCTGTTCAGGTTGTGCCTGTCAGGATAGACTGCTGAGATTCAACATGGGATTAAAGTAGTGGCGGGCTGTGCATTTTACACCTAGGCCTTCAGCTGGGAGGGAACGGACCTGCCGGATGCAGAGAAGCAGGTGGGGGTAACGCTGCTGACTGCGGAGTCCGCAGTGGCAGAAAGAGTAGCAAAGGAGGATGCCAGCTCTGAACTTAATAAGTTTATAATAAAAAAACTCTATAAGACAGTCCTACAGGTCTGTATGCAAAACAGGGGAAAACCTGTCAAATTTACAGACAATCTGTACAACTTGACACAAAGCCACAACTACAAAAACCACCAATAACACACTGAAACACAGAACAACATGCTGCTGCACCACAGACAGGTGTCTCAGCTGCACCACAGACAGGTGTCTCAGCTGCACCACAGACAGGTGTCTC